ATTACTTATCTTAAAATAATAGTCACGTTGTGAACATATGCGTGTGTATGAATCACTTTTGACAAACACTCAAACAAAGTAACATAAACTTAAAAAAATGACATAAAAAAGTTACATAAACTTAATAAAAGTGACAAAAAAATAAAAAAAATGACATAAATTTAAAAAAGTGACAGAAACTTAAACACAAACAAGATACTTATTTTGAAATAACAATCACACTGTAAACATATGCATATGCATGACTTACCTTTCACAAAAATTCAAAACAAAAAATGGCAAACACTAAAAAAAAGTGACATACATTTAAAAAGTGACATAAACTTAAAACAAGTGACGGAAAACCAAGAAAAGTGACACAAAATGTTGCAGTATTCCAATTTATATGTGAGAAACAAAATATTTTTGAACTTATTCCCTTTTTAATGAGATATACTTATTTAAAGTCCCCTTTCATTTAGAATACTCTCATGCCAATTGCATTATTTCATGTTCTCAACATACTATAAATTTTATTATTTTAGGTAACAAACTATATTAAAAAGAGAAAAATCTGATGCATTCAGAAAAAGGTAAAATGGAAAGAACCTACTGGTCATCAAGAAGCATGAAGAAGTGAATCACCTTACATACTAATTAAGTGAAAGTGTGTGTATTTCATATCTCTGATTTCTGAAGAGACCCAATAGATTTGGCATCAACCACAAAGAAAAGCCATACCCAAGAATTAAGAGGAAAGCAGCAATCCCACATAAAAGGATATATGTTTTAAGGCATCACAATCCCAATGCAATCAACTAACCCAATACATAACAACATATATAATTTTCACTCTGCCCCCTAGCACAAACCAATTCTTCACTTCCCCTATCCTTTTTCCTCACCAAAGTCAAGCTTCACACTAACATCACTTTCATTTTCCATGTCATAGATGCAAACACAATTGCATTTTCTACGGTTCCTCATATGCTTCAAGCACACCAACAAGAACAAGCAATGCTTACAACATTTACCGAGGCAGTTTACAAACTTGTTATGTAAATTATAGAATGACTAAAGACATAAAAAGAAAATTTCACGTATTATTAAGTTGAAGAAGGTAGAGGAAAGAAATAATCATTTACAGCAACAACATTGCCTTCCAACTTCTACTAATAGGGCTATAACGTCCACGCTAATTTTTTTTTTTTCTATTACTTTTGTTTACACAAAACAAAAGGCAACTTGGAAGTTGTGAAATTTTCTAAAAGGCATAACATCACATACGAAATATCAAAACTAGAAAGTCAATTTCCCAGCAAGGAACTAAAATTAAAAAATATACACAAGAGGGGAAATTGAATTGATACTCCTCTCCTGCAATTAATGCTACCTCGGGTTTATAAGATGTTGAAGAAAATTTGTTCTTCTTCTTTGAAGATAGTTCTTCATCAATATTTTTTCCTTCTTCGGCCCACTTTTCTCCGATCATTGTAGAAACAAAAGTTAGAGTCGGCGTTGGCGTTGGCACCAAAGTGAATAAGTCAGAATCGGACTCGGATTTCTAGATTTTGATCGGAACAAGTTCGGGGTTTCGACTATTTGGAGTTTTTAGGGTCAAAGTTTAAGATCTCCTGAAATGAGAATGAGAAATCTGAAGACAAACGGAGATGGAGGAAGATCGAGACAAAATCGATCGAAAACGATAGGAAACAAAGATTTCAGGTTGAGGTTTCTTGGAGTTCGGGAAATCACCTGCGGAGTGGGAACGTTTTAAGGGAGAATGAGCGGGTTTCTATTGGGTTACTTTAAAAAAAAAAGACGAACCACATCCTTAGCGGCCCCCACCTGCCCTGCCCTGCCCTGGACCTTGGTGAAGAAGGTAAATCGCAGGTTATGTCTTCAAAGGTACAGGGTGGAAGGCTGCTTGTACACTTGCACTTATCCAAGGGCCAAATCCATATTTTAGGATTCGAACCCTTGACGCGGCAGCCTCAAGTAAAGCTGGAGTTTTTCCACCTTCCCCTTTTACCACTTGGAGATGTGCCCTGGGGGCATTCTATCGGGTTACTTTAGGTCGGAGTTTTAGTTGATAGTTTAGGATATGACATAATTATATCTTGATTAAAATATTTAATTAGTTTAAAAGGTATTAATCAAAATACTTATTTTATGGGATATTGGGCCTAATTTCCTCATAATTAATTGTGTATAAGGTTATCTCAAAGTTGAGTCCAATTAAAGTGATCTAATAAAGAATTAAATTGTTGGGTTAAGGGTATCTAAATAAAGTGTGAATCGAATTATATGTGTAAAGATCGGATCCATTAAAGTTGTATTTGATAATGGACCAAATTCATCCCACCACCACTGTGAGAATCACCCAAATCGTTGTCGCTACCTCAGATCTACAACGCACCACCACCACCACCACCATGTGTGAATTAACGAGTCTTTGATGTCAATTTTCTAGTATTTTTAAGAATCAAGTGATACTAGAAGATGGTCGTATTCCTCTAGAATCAACGAGGCTCTTCCACCTACATCACATCAATAGGACCTTGAATACTCATGTTCATTGCTTCCCGAAACTAGATTTTACTAACTTTCAATTTTTCTACCGTGCAATAAAATATCACCTTAAAATTGAAAATTTATAAAGCTTTTTTTTTTTTTTTTAATTGTGTTCACAATACAACAAATGTACGATTCTGACTTGATATCCTTTAAAAGTGCACCATAATTTCTTTGCAAGTGTTGGACATTACAGGGTATGGTAAAGTTTTCAATTATCAAGATAGATTTACGAAAATCATGTCTTGAGTCTTGACTTGTAACTTTCTCTTAGAGTACGAACCCATCAAATTTATCACATATCATATCTATTCAATTTTCAAAGACAAAGCTTTCACACTTCTCTCATTCAAGGGTGGATAGATTCTTCTATTATCATGCTGGCTGGACCATCTAAGCCATTATCAATTAATGAAATTATAGTGGCAATAATTCAGTTTGGACTTGACCCAAATTTGTGGGGAAAATTCATAAATTGTAGTCAAAACTCAAAACCACGAGCTTGGTTCCCACTTGAGGCACTTATAATTTGGTTGAGGCGCTATTTAACGAAATTAATTCTTTTAGCAATTTAAATATTTTAAAACCTCTTGTAATATAAATTTCATGACTTCTTTCAAAATACAACTATCCATCGCAAATTATTTATAACCTAATAAACTCACACTACGTTAGGAGTGTTAAGTGTAACAAGCCGTTCATCAACTCGGCTCGCCACACAACGAGCAAAGCAACGAATTACTCACGAGCAGGCTCGCCTTCGTCTCGTCCCATTTAACATTCCTACATATCTTGTGAAATTGACATCTTCGGACCATTAATAGTCGTTGAAGCTATTATATCTTGTAATTAATTCTGCGGGAATTTAACTTTAACTGTAGTAAAATGTCAATTTTGACGCATGGATGAGAAGGAGATTAATTTCTGAAGAAACCACCTGAAAATAGTTGAGCTAACATGTCCGTCTGCATTTTTCAACTTGATTGGACACAAATAATTACTTTATACATTTATTATTAAATATTGCAATAATAATGAGAAAAGATAACAATGCACAGCCCTTAAACCTCATATATGAAATTTAATACTATTGTGTCTTTAATATTGCTAGATAATATCATTCGACTACTAAATTTCTTCTCTACTATCTAATTTTGAATGTTTCATTTTCTTCTCTACAATGAAGCATGAAAAAAAATAAAAAAAAAAAAAATCCAAAAATCCATTTCTCTCCTAAAAGAGCAATTATTGTTGACCTCAAAATTCGGGGATGTGTGGCCAACAAAAATCCTGCCCCCTCCCCTCCACTTAGGCACCACTTGCACACTGAAACACACCGTTAGGAGGTAAATGTCCAACGGTTGTTTGCACCCCGATGATTAAGTCAACGGTCGGAGGGAAAGAAATGGGTTTAAAAGACTGGAGATGGGATTTGGCTAGGTTAGAATAATCTTACATTGTGTGTGAAATTGATTGACCTATATAAAGGGAGGAAAATGGGCCAAGATGGGCCGTTGAACCAGGCGAAGTACAAGAACATGCTGCTTGATTTAATAAACCCAATTCAATTGATTTTATAGGTATAACAATTCTATTTATCAATAGTGATGACCATCACGTGTTTATATTGTAGTGGGCCATCCAAATTCATTGTTCAGTGGAGTTGTGATGCACTATAATGCACTGAATAATGAATTTGAGGCCACTATCGAATCTAGGATTAATCAACCAAGAGCTTACAATTTCTATAAAAGAGGACTTTGACAGTAAGAGAAATATGAAAGAAAGAGAGAGGGACACGATGAAATCATGTCAGCTTAATTGCTAAGGTATGACCATAATGTGAATTTATGTATGTTAATACATAATGTCGGATATGATTCGATTTTCGGTAATTATCTTGGACTTTCATAGGTGATTTTCAATGGGAAGTCGATTAATTCTCAGGGCCAGCCCTGACCATCCTTATATTGGGAAGTCGACCCCCGACACATGCGTGCACAAATAAAAGAAAATGAATTGCATATTTACCTTTCCTTTTTAACGTGTCCATTCAATGGGAATCACGTTATTGCTGATTCAAAGTGAACCATTTTGTGAACAATGAATAGCAGAGGGTTCTGTGGATGTAGTTCATGAAGTCAGTATCTTTTATCTTTCATGACCTGTGTGGTAGATTGATCTATGAGTATTCAATAAAGATTAAAGAAAAAATTGACTCTTTCGAGTCTCAAAAACTCATTTTGACTTGTCAAAAATCATGTCAAACAAGTCTTATTATGTAATATATAAGACTCACAAGTAATTGTAAGACTATTATTCCTTATCGTTTACATATATTTCACAACTTATATATGTAGAGTTGTGCACGATCACAATATCCAATTATTTTATTGGAATACATTTTTATTCGGCATAAATAATTCACAGAGAATACCTATCCGAAGTTAATGTGATTGAACATAATTAAAGTGTTTGATTGTGTATCTGCTGAATCCAACTGCATTCAAAATATACTCCCATTCTTTACGAGTCCTTTCTTTTCCTGTATCTGTATGTGCCATCATAATCAGATCTAGATACAAGTGAACACGTTTATACTTGTCGTCTTCTTCTTCGTTAACGACAACCTCCACGATGATCATTTTTCCCGTGTTTGCACGAATAGCTTCTTTGCACTTTTTCAAGATGTCTATACACTCTTCATCGTTCCAATCGTGTAAAACTTGCTGAAAGCAAATATAAATGAATAAATAATTTTCTTTAGTCTCTAGTAAACCATAAAAAGATACAAAAATAAAAGTTGGGTTTCTCTCGAAAACTGAGCATACCATGATGAAAACAGCATCAGCCTTAGGAACGCGTTCAAACATATTGCCTCCTACATGCTCAACTCCATCATAATGTGGAGCCACAGACACTACATGAGGGAGATCAAAGTTAATCCCCTTAATCCATGGACAAGCCTTAACCAAAATGCTAAGAGCCGTTCCATTTCCACCACCAACATCCACCAAAGAAGTAATCCCTTCGAAAATCTCTGGATGGTGATCAAGAATTGCTGGCACTGTTATCCTAGCCAGGCACCCCATTGCGTCGTCTATCAGCTTGCAATGGGCTGGATTTTTCGCAGCATAGCGCCATATTTCCTCACCGTTTGCAGCCTGAAATGATGAAGTGCCATCAGCTAAAGCTCTTGCACTTAGGCTGAGCCATGGTGCAAGCATTACTGGGCTGGTCTCTAGTAGCAAAAGATCAACCATGCTATTGGCTCCATTTCTCATTAGAAGCCGGGAAAGAGGCGTTTGAGCGTAAATAGTTGATTCTAATTGTTCTTTATTATCGTTCACTGTCTCCTTAAAGATCCCGCGGTGAATCAAGAACCTCATGATGCGATAGAGAGCAGAAGGTGAACAACCGAGGGCAGAAGAGAGCTCGGAGAGTGTCATGGGATTCACCAAGACATCAGGTATTCCTAGATCAACAGCACACTTCACTACAGCCATTGAAGTAAAACCGAACACATAATTCCAGATATCTATTAGTGCTTGGCCTTCTTCTCTTTTGCTTATTGCTTCTTTCATTGTCTTTACCTTTTTTTTCCGTCTCTCTTCTTGATTTCTGGTGAGTGTACAAAATGAATCTACTGCAAATATATAATGTTTCACCTTCGTGGCTTCTTCATTAAGGGGCAGCCCTCGGCCCCACCATCCAATTTGCTCTAAGAGACCAGCTTGATTCTATAGTTACTTTGGTGTGCCAATCGAATTTTTGGATTAATAGCTAGACTTGTTCACAATAACAATCATACATTAGCTTGCGGGGAAACAAAAACGAAAAACCAAATGTAACATGACACGACACAATATGACATGACAGAATACGATATGACACTTAGACCCTATTTGATTGCAACAAATTCCATGAAAAATGTCACATCCGAGGAAAACGAATTCCACTTTGGCCGTTTGATTGCAACGTGAAAATAAAAATCGAAATTCCAATGTACAACCACTTTACGCTGCATTTTCTTTGTTTCCATGGAAAACAAATTCCTATGAGTTTGGTGGATTTTTATTTTTCAACTAATATGGAATTGGAATTCATTTCCACATTTACCTTTCAAACGGATCTTTAAAGAAAAAACACTATGAGAACGTTGTACAAAAAGTTTGGAGTTATCCTAAAGTTTTAACGTCTTAGAAATTTCCTTGAAACCTTTCTTGTCATTATTAACGGAAGGAAACGTGAATCCATAAATTTTAACACTGAACCCAACACGTTAATCACATGGTTTCCCAAGTAATTATTGGTGCACAACTCATAAATGACCCAAACTCATGATTCATGAATAAACAGAATAAGTAACATTTCACGCAGCACAAGTTACATCAAGAGAGGTAGAGCAGGTGATATACCAATGAAAGCAAATTCAATATCGAGGAGAATTTTTAAAATTAGCATGTTATCGAAATTTTCGAA